AAGATTTCCGAGTCTTTGCTTCTCTACAGCAAATCAAGTAATCCAAAGTATTCAGATTACATTACTCACTTTAAGTAACTTGATGGATTACGTTACAAACTACATTCTGGGGTATGTAATCTGTAATCTGTAGGGGAATACATTTTAAAAGTCACCTTCCCAACACTGCTGACAGCAGAGGGCGCTCCAATGCCTAAATCCTTCATTGGAAACTGAAATGTAGTTTAAAAATTTGTAGTTTATTAAATATTTATGAATATTTTCCAAATGGGGAGATTATTTTTAATTTAAAAAAGTGATATATGAATCCTAAGGTGGTAAAAAACATGTTTAAAAGACACAAAAATGAATGAATGTGTTCTTTCAAAGTGACTTTTTTTTTCTTTTTTGTTTTACCCTGTTATTATTATAATGGTGTTCATCATTAGCCGACTGTTGTATTTATAATGATTCATGCATGTTGGAGTAATCTTTAACTGCGTCTGCCCCTCCCCCTGACCCCACCCATGTCTCTGTCCTCACTCGGGGTCATACACAAATATAAAAAAAAGAAAACTGTTCTGTAGCCCTCTTTTCAAAATACAAATATGGTCGATGAAAATCCAGTGCTTGCTGTGATGAAATGTCAGTTGTGTGCAGTTTTCCTGTTGTGAAGTCATTTTAGATCAGTATTGTGATTTTCAATGAACGAAATGTCAAACGGACGTCTACATCATCGTTAAGCAGAAATGAAGCATAATCTGTCTTTAATAATGGGCACTTGGGATTCGTTTGTTTTTAAGACTGATGCAAGTGTCTCTTGTCGTGTCAAACACTTGGTTTTGTTTGCAAACTATAGTATCGTATAGTATTGTATAGTGTTGTATTGTATCGTATAGTATCATAATATCGCATAGTATCGTAGAGTATTGTATTGTATAGTACCATATAGTATCGTATTGTATTTTATAGTATTATATAGTATCATATAGTATCGTATAGTATTGTTTTGTATTGTATTGTGTTGTATTGTGTAGTATATAGTATTGTATAGTATTGTATAGTAGGCTAGGCAAGGCAAGTTTATTTGTATAACAGTTCATATACAAAGTAATTCAAAGTGCTTTACAGAATAAGAAATACATTAAAATCATTACATTAAAAATAAAAACAAAAACATAAATAATCATCACAAAATTAAAGATTAAAATTAAAAAAGAGAGAGACATTAATTACATAAATTAGACAGAAGAGTGCGGAATGAAAACCTTTAGTATCATATAGTATCGTATAGTATAATATAGTATCGAATAGTATTGTATAGTATCGTAAAGTATCTCATAGTATTATACAGTATCATATAGTATCTTATAGTGTCGTATAGTATCTTATTGTACCATATAGTATCGTATCGTCTAGTATTGTATTGTATAGTACTGTATAGTATCGTATAGTTTTGTATAGTATCATATTGTATAGTATCGTATAGTACCATATAGTATCGTATAGTGTTGTATATTATTGTATAGTTTCATATAGTATCGTATAAGTATTGTATAGTGTTGTATAGTATCTTATAGTATCATATAGTATCGTATAGTATTGTATTGTGTTGTATCGTATAGTATAGTATTGTATCATATAGTATCGTATAGTATTTCATAGTATTGTATAGTATCATATAATATCGTATAGTATTGTATATAGTATCATATAGTATTGTATAGTATCATATAATATTGTATAATATCGTATAATATCATATAGTATCGTATAGTATTGTATTGTATAGTATCGTATAGTATCATATAATATTGTATAGTATTGTATAGTATCTTATCGTATAGTATCGGTTTGAATGTGAAACACCCAAAGACTCAAAGAGAGCCGTCACTTTATCCTGAACCTGGAGCACGTCACCTGCATAAATCCATGACAATAAAAAGTTTAAACCGTACCATAAAACAGTCTCTAAGGAGATAGATTATAGATTATAGATTATAGATTATAGATTATAGATTATAGTGAAAGGAACAACATTTCCATGGAGACAAACCAGGGGAGGCCAAATAAGAGTCCAGTTTGTTGAAGCGCACGCCCACAGAATAAGGACACGTTTAGTATTTCAGAGTTACACACTGTGGCTTTAATAAATGGTTTTCAATATTCAATTCTTTAATCAAAACAAACATAATCGATACCATTCTGCTCCAGACCACACGCTTTTACTGACAAAGGCTGTAGACGCCATATTACACCGTGTTCTCATCTATGTTATAATGTTGTTTCTTCTTCACAAATGCACCTGGAGATTTAAGATGAGTTCTGTGGTTTCTCAAACTGAAATTTGGATGATTTTAGCCCTGGAATGTCCAATCTCTACTGAACGGAGGGTAAAAGGAGCTGTTTACTTGGCAACTACCACTACACGGAACAGAGCATTTTGAGCTTTAAAAATGTAGACAGACTAATAATAAAGGATTAGTCAAACGTGTGGATGAAACGAAACACAACTGCAGCTCTGTTTTTGAGGACGGAACAACATTATGACATGGCTTAAAGCTCATAAGAATCTAATTTGTGTAACGTTGGACCTTTAAAAACAGCCAGGCGGATCACTGACCTTTGAAATACAAAATTTGCTTACATTTTTGCCCAGCCCTAGTGCACTCCCTCCTCATGCGTGCTCCCTCCTCGTGCTCCTGCAGCTCTGCTCTGATCCTGCTCTGCTTGTTATTCACAGGAGTCTTGCTTTAGCGATTGCCTTCAGGAGTGCTCATGTCTATGCAGAGGAAATGAAGTTGAACTCAAGCCTAACTATGTCTCTTTACTTTATAGCAGAACCGGTTTAATGTGATCCAGGGTTAGGCCTCAGTGTCCTGACACATGACTGACATTCAAATCCTGGACGTGACACGCTTTTTTGAAAGTGACACTAAACAACCAAACTCCACATACAACCACACAAAAAAATAAAATAAAAATAGAAAAATAAAATCATATAGAGCTGCTACACTGGGCAGTACCTGGAGGACTAAAGGGGAGAGTGAGTGGGGAGGAGGGGTCTTGGGGACTAAAGGGGACAGTGAGGAAGAGGAGGGTGGGGTCTGGAGGACTAAAGGGGAGAGTGAGGAGGAGGATGGGTCTGGAGGCCTAAAGGGGAGAGTGAGGAGGAGCAGGGGTCTAGAGGACTAAAGGGGAGAGTGAGGGGGAGGAGGGGTCTGGAGGACTAAAGGGCAGAATGAGGAGGAGGAGGGGTCTGGAGGCCTAAAGGGAAGAGTGAGGAGGAGCAGGGGTCTAGAGGACTAAAGGGGAGAGTGAGGGGGAGGAGGGGCAGGGTCTAGGGGACTAAAGGGCAAAGTGAGGAGGAGGGAGGGTCTGGAGGACTAAAGGGGAGAGTGAGGAGGAGGCAGGGTCTGGAGGACTAAAGGGCAGAGTGAGTGGGGAGGAGGGGTCTAGAGGACTAAAGAGGAGAGTGAGGAGGAGGGGAGGGGTCTAGAGGACTAAAGGGGAGAGTGACGGGGAGGAGGGGGTGGGTCTGGAAGACTAAAGGGGAGAGTGAGGAGGAGGAGGGGAGGGGTCTGGAGGACTAAAGGGCAGAATGAGGAGGAGGAGGGGTCTGGAGGACTAAAGAGGAGAGTGAGGAGGGGCGGGGTCTAGAGTACTAAAGGGCAGAGTGAGTGAGGAGGAGGAGGGGTCTAGAGGACTAAAGGGGAGAGTGACGAGGAGGAGGAGGAGGGGCGGGGTCTGGAGGACTAATGGGGAGAGTGAGGGGGAGGAGCCAGGTGATTGTAATCAGAAACACATGGCTGTAATTAGGGCAGTCCTGTGTGATGTGACATAGTACTTGAAATTGCTCTGATTTTTACACTTTTTAACTCAAAGCTGCAAATTTACCTAGTTTGCACTAAAATTGCCAAAAGGCAGGTGAGGGGAGAGGGGGGCCAGGTTTGACATCTGTCATCAACTTGAAAAAAGTAAAAAATAAATAAAGGATAGATTTAGACCCTAGTCACTGAAATGCTAGCAACTATGACCCGGGATTTACACCAGGAGCGTCAGCAGCACATAACGCCGGCAGAGCTGCATACACAAGTACTTTTAAAAGCTTCAGTTTACACCAGAGGCAACGGAGCTGCTCCTGTGACTCCAGCCTCTGTGGATTGTCATGTTTAATTATGTTTTAAATCACAAAAGAAAAGCTGACAACAAGAGAGATGATGTTTTGCGGCGATAACAAGCCGTATCTGCGGTCCTCGCATTAATTCATTACTAATTACTCTCCATTTCACTTTAGTTGTCTGCACCACGGGCCTTTTCCTTCAGAAGTTGTTCTTGTAAAGTCGCTGTGATGTCGTAAAGTGTTGTACATTTATCCTCTGTGGCTGTAAACTTTCCATAGTCCATGTCCAGTCATTCTCCGAGCTCCTGATGCGACGCACAGTGTTTACGCCGCTGTAGTGGTTTTACAGAACTTATTTTGAAAGGGAATCAGAAGTTTATTTTGACACCGCGTGCTTATTTCCTGTCTTTCCCCTGATAAAAAGCCTGGAGACACTTAGTTGAAAAGTAGAATTTCAACCTAATTTGAGCTGCGAGTATTGTCATGTCGGCCGTTGGACGCGTGTATGACACTGCTGGTGTCCAACAAGTAAAAATGGAAAGCCAAACCTGCTGGTGTGCTGCTCGTGTGCTGCTCGTGTGCTGTGCTGCTGCGTTTATGTGCTGTTACGCTGTGGTGTAAATTGGGGGTTAGTCTGCAAACAGTGTTACTTAAAGGGGGTTTTATGTGAAATTGAGTTTTTGGAGTTTTCTATCATGTTATAACCTTGTTCCCTCATCAAAAACATGAATGAAGAGGTTTTAGATGTCGTTCATGCATGTTTGAGTAATCTAGTGATCTCCCTTGGGCACTACTTGAACCCTCTTTATTTTTACAGGACGAGCCCACGCCTCTTGTACAAGCCTCCGCCCACAATCCTTGCACTGCAGTCTAACCATATCTCTTTAAACTGTTGCAGGGACGACACTTTGGCCAAATCCACCTTTTTCCAACACCTGGTGGAGGACAGCTCCGAGTCGGGCCCGTCCTACTATGACTTCCTCCAGCAGATCCTTCAGCAGGCCTCCAAGTGACGCGCCCCTCCAAGCTGACCAGAGCCGACCCAGCCGACCCGAGCCGACCCGAGCCGACCCGAGCTGACCCGAGCTGACCCGGGCTCTCACGGACCATCCATCTGGAGGTAGCGGGCTGCAGTTCCGTCTGTGGTTTAAAGGAGTCACTGAACTTCAGCCACTTCAAACTCCTGAGCCTCCTCATGTCATGTTTTATAGGGATGGGCAGATATGGATTTTTTTTTTTTTTTTTTTTTTTTTTTGAGCCAATAAACTATCCAGTATTTGTCCTGCTGCTGTGACCGATAACCAATATTTACCTATACCGATATTTAGCTTTTAGTCTGTTCACAAAGGGCACACAGAGGCACAGTGCAAAAAATGATCGGTATAGATGATCGTTATCGAATATATTGGTCAATATTGATAACAACGGATTACTGGAAACAATATATCGCCTATTCCTCATGTTTTATTTAGTCTTTCTACTGGTTTTATGAGCTTAGAAACACTGGATTGGTCATTCAGACTTGACCGTGATACGAGATGGAGAAGACTTCCGTAGCCCATCCATCGTCCGCCTCGGTCCAGCTCTTTACAACGTCCAGTCTCGACCTTTGTGTTCCTGTCATTAAAGGGGCTCTATATGATTTTTTTTGTTACCGATGGTCAGGTCTACACCGTTTTCTACGGTCCAGTCATTCCTCACTTTCCTCATGCATTCCTAACACTGTCATTTATTTAAACGTGCAGTACCTGATTTTTATTGTCTTTAAAAATGTGAAAAACAGTGCTCCAAAGTTATTCCTCATCATTCCCAGCCACACATTTTGAGGGAAAATCAGGTACAGGTACTTTAAACGTCACAGAAATGTTAAGAACTACTTAGCCTCCTGACAGTCCGACTTAAAAGTTCAATGGCTTCTTCATTGGATGCAAACCGAGTACAACAGTCTGGTTTTGTTGGTAAGATTAGCGTTTACAATGGTTTTACTTTTGAGCCGTGACTGAGAATGAGCTGTGAGCCTCGCCCTGATGTTGAACCGTGACTGACTGAGAAACGCCTGTATAACTAATCTATAACATCCACTGTATCTTTTAGGTTTTTTTAGGACTGCACTGATCCAGTACAATAATACGACTCAGAATGGTTGAACTTTAATTTATATAAAGTTGTGCGGTAGTTACATGAAGGATAAAAAACAGATCCATAATGCGTTTAGGTCAGTTTTGTTGTGTTTTATTTTTAAATAAACTAAATACTTGCCCTGACAGGTATTAGTTGATTTCAGGTATCAGCAGGTACTTAAGGTTATTGATACTTTGCAGCTGATGTCGTCAACATTCCCTGGAGTGGCTCTACTCTGTCTGAAGCTCTGTTCAGTTAGACTTTCATATTGGCTAGGGACGAACGAGCTATCATTTTGGACCGAAAATCACGATCTTGGGAGTAGGGATGGGCATGATTAGTCGATTAATTGATCATCGATCATTAAGAATTTCATGGATTATTTTCATTTTAATCAACAAGCCGAATGTAGGTTGCTGTGCGTAGCGTAGTGTGACCAAACAGGGGTCTGTACATGTAGCTCTGTGACTCAGAAGGAGCGAGACACGTTTTCCGTTGCGTTCGGGACAAGTGTGAGTCCATGTGCACAGTGTACAAATCAGCGCATATGTTTCAGTGTCCAGTGGGAAAAAGTTTCACCAGGTGAGAGTCGCGTAATGTCGATGTCCTGGTTTTGACAAATGTAAATAAAGTCACACTAACCTGTATTCCACTGAGTCGTGTCGCATCAGCGACACAAGAGCTATTTTTTTTCTTCGCTTAGTTTATGCAAATTAGCCATGTGGTTTTAAGTTTCATTTCTGTGAGACTTGCATTAAACACATTCTAATGTCAAACGGGCTGATGAGGCTCTAGAGTGGTTGTGGTTTATATGTCGTAAAGTTGAATTTATTTATGCAGATTAGTGCAGATAGTAATAATAATGATGATACATTTTAATATAAAAAACGTTAATGATTAATCGATAATTGATCGTTAATTCTCTCGACGATTGATTAAGAAAATTGAATCAAATGCCCATCCCTACTTGGGAGTGTCAAAAGCCATGTTTTTTTTTCAGTGCTCCTAAACCCCAATTTAAGGTCAAAGTATGTTCTGCTTTGACTCAACGCACACTCCCGCCGTCGCCTCGTCGCCGTTGTTTTAGATTTATGGATCTGCGTCGACGTGTACGCGCCACGAAGTAATTCACCGCCACAACGCCAGGAGCCTAGGATTTAAACCTGGCTTTGTGTAAAGTTTCACATGAAACATCTCCAACACGATAGAAGCACAGAACAGACTCACCATCAGCAGAACACCCTCTGTCTGAGTCGTGTTCTTACGTCCGACCGAAACTGAACTGGATCAGCAGCACAAGGAGCGAGCTGTTTTTTTTTTCAGAGCGTACAGTTTATGCAAATGAGCCATGTGGTTTTAAGTTTAGTTTCTGTAAAACTTAAAACAAATGTGCAAAGCTGAATTAAACACATTATTACTCAATGTATATTGAAAGACGTGAAAGTGGAGGACAGGAACAGTGTGTAGAGCGGAGGTAGAGACAACCAATTACAGCCCTTATTGTTTGCGTAAACTGGGACTTTACGTTTCAGCGTCAAATCGTCGGTTCAGGACTCTAGTGTGATTTAAGTTTCTGTGATGTTTGCAAATGTTCTTGTGCACTGAAACTTGATTAAAAAAAAAATTACGGATGGATTCGAAATTCGCAATATCTACCAGAAAAATCACAATTCAGTTTTTTTTTTTAAATCATTCAGCCCTAATATGAGCTTTGTCTAACACAATCTGATCAGAAAGAGCTGGAACTACAACAGGTCATCTGATTTTAGCCAACAGTTTTTAAGTTTCTCTCACCTCAAGTTTCACTTTTGTTGAAAATCAAACTCCCAAACAGGCCCACGAACGCTCAGACTGATCACAGGCTCCTGAAAACCTGCTGTTTGAAATCAGTTTGTTTTTTTTCTTCAAGTTTTCACACCATCCAAAACTGTATCTGTCTGCGCTTGTTAATGTGTGAATTGTGTCACCAGGGTAATTGCTGACCGTACTTCCATAGACATACACGCAGAACACCCCCACTGTGATGTCACTACAGAGTATCAATAGTATCGGAATCGTAGAAAAAGCTGGATTGGTGCGTCCCTTGTTTTTTCTCATGATTCTCACTTTAACAAAATGCTTTTTAAATTGTATATGTAGCTTTATTCATTCAGTTCCATTTGTTCACACGTTTTTCTTTCACAAATATCTGCTCTTACAATACTGTGTGGAAGGATTAGAGGTATTGTAAGTATTAAGAATGAAAAGTCAGGTACAGCCCCTTTAATGACTAAACCAGTTGGACTTGTTTTTAAAGCCACACATCTGCATGGAATCCATTGCACTGTGGCTGCTGGCGACTCAGAACTGCAGAAGATTTTTTTAGAACCGCGCGCCTCCTGGACACTGGGCGCTCGTCGGGACTTCCTCCAGGTGAACCCCACTGTGGTGGACTCTCTCCCCCTTTTCCAGGCTCAGACATGCCACTGTCCACTTTGTATCTACTGAAGAATATTTTATGTGATAATTTATGAAACCTTATTAAAGAAAAGCAGAAATGACCACATGTGGGCTCTTTTTTAACTCTCTGTAGTTTATTCACATAAGTATTTGTGAATCACTAAAGGAACTGTATCTAAGAATTTTATTTTAAATTTCATGAACATGATCTGTATGTCCTCAGTGATGAGCTTAACCCAGGGGTGGGCAAACTACGGCCCAGGGTCCATATGCGGCCCTTTAATCTTTTTAATCCGGCCCACCGAACATGAAGAATAAAATAATAATAATTTTCAGTGTTTTAATAGTCATTTCAATAAATAGTAAATACTGTGGTACTTGAAAGACAGATTTTTGTTGTAATGCTTTGTAAGGATTTTTCAATTATTAAATTTTTTATTATAATTTTTTTCTATTATGAGGTGGATTACCAAAAAACTCCATCCATCTGCTCCTGGTCCGGCCCTTCCGTCAAATTGTAGAACCCTTTATAGCCCACAAGTGAAAAAGTTTGCCCACCCCGGCTTCACATGTTCAAATCAAATCTAGATTTACTGGTAACATCTGTAGTGCTGATTTATTTTTAATAACAAAAACATTGGACATGATGGATGAGTTGTTGTTTCAGTGCTGAAATCCGGCATGTTTAAACCGAAAATGTCTCTGATCTGAACGGTCACTTCCTAAACCCCAGCACCTGCACCAGTCATGAGTCAGTGCTAGTGCAGCGTCTGCAGCTCAGGGAAGAAACTCTGGAGGTTCTGAGCTTCACATGACATGGGACACGGCCTGTCCTTATACTACTGGTCAAAAGTTTTAGAACACCCTCATTTTTCCAGTTATTTATTGCAGTTCAAGTCGTACAAGTCCAATGAAGAGCTTTAAATGATACAAATTCAAATGTCTCTTATTCAGAAACTAGAGGGACTATTGAAATAAGTAAAGTATCAGAATGTAGGAAAGAGTTACACTCCAACAGGGTCAAGTTAAACCTGTGATATTCTTTCAAGTTGTTGACAAAAAACTTAAAAACTCATGTTGGTAACAGAGGGAATGAAATATGCAGCACTTTTTGGGCAATAAATCCAAACAGTGATAACTCTTGGTTCTCACTTACATATCCTTAACAAACTGGTTTGAATATTTGCTTCATATAGTTTTCTACCATATGGTACAAGATTAGGTTGAAAAACCTCTTACTTTTTGACTCATGAGATTTTTTATTAAGAAAGATCATGGTAACGGAGGGAAAAGTAACGGGAGGAAAATTGTACAAGCAAGTAGAAGGTGCAGGATTTTACATAATTTGTCAACTTTTTTCTTCTGAATACTTTAATATTACTTCAAAATGAAAGGAAACTATTTCTATAAAATATGTCAGTCCTTCCAAGCAAATTTTTATCATTTTAAATACTTTTTTTTGGAAAAATCATGTACCTTCATCAGCAGTTGAAAGATGGAATAACACAAGATATGATGAAATACATCCATTTATTTACATGATTTGCAGGTCTTATAATAGATTAAGTAATTAAATAATTTTTGTTCCATGTTTCATACATGGTCTGTTTAAAACGGATGGAACTTTAGAACCAAAAATGGTCCAGAAAACAGGTCAACACTTTCATAAACTAGAGTACATATGTATCTGTTCAATACATTTTTATATCAGATGCATTAACTTGAATTTTTGACCTTGCTGTTTACTTCTGCTTGACTGGACCCAAAGGTAAAAAACTGAACAGACAGAGGTTAAAAAAAGATAAAAGATACAAAACACAAGTCCAAGCTCTGCCAGAACTACCTCAGGAAAAAAGAACAAGATGATGAGCTTGAAAACCTGGAGTGTCCAGACTTAAACCCCATCGAACTGGACAGAACAGTGAAGCAACCTACAAGTGCCACACATTTATGGAAACTTCTGTGACAGACTTGAGAAGAACTTTCTGAACAATATTTGATTTGTGTTGTAGAAAGAACGAGCCTCGAGTGTGTTCAGCTGTTCTATCTGCCAAAGATGAACGCTCCAGATGTAACAATAACTGAAATATCGAGACATCGTATCGTCAAAAGTCTCACAATAATATTGTGGGCCGTCACAATATATCAAATTACAAGTTCCTTTGTTTAAATGCAGGTTTTATAGGTGAGTTTCAGCTGACGTCATTGTTATTAAAAGCCTGCGTTGCATGCTGGGAAATATTTTGGTTGGAGGCAAGAAACAGGATAGTGGTCAAACACAGTGCGTAACCTCGCGTATTTATCCCTGATAATGGTAAATTCCTGCTGCATTATCGGATGCACAAATAGAAGCACGGAAGAAGGAAAATGTCTTTTTTGTATTCTGAGTGAAAAGAACCACTAACGGTGAATTAAACGACTTTCAAACATTCACAGAGCAAACGTAGAAGATCCTAACAAACCGTGGACTCCAACAAGTTCAACAACACATCGAGACTCTTGGAGGTTTTCATCTTTTCTGCTGTGAATGGCCCAGGAGTTTCCACCAAGTCATTGTGGATATCGCCCAAGTGAATATTTGTCCAGGTAGTTGCCGATTTTGACCAGAAATTTGGTTTGTTCCACCTTTTGTCGGGGTTGAAAAGGGTGATTTGGCTCCATCGATGTTTATGACCAATTTCTGACAAATGGTCTTGGGTCCTCTGCCGTTAGAGTGGATAAATAACCAGGATCAATACCCTTTACGTGCTTTCTCGCTCCGTCCATCATGTTGAATTAGTGTTTCTTGCTGCCGACCAAAATAATTCCCATCATGCAACGCACGCTTTTGTCAACAATGAAACTCACCTATAGCAGCAACAGCTTATGAACATCGGGAACTACATATCCCATGATTCATTTCAGTGCAGACAACATGAGGAAATGTGTTTTTTACATGAATTCTTGGGATTATGACTAATTCACATCAAATTATATTAGCCTCTTCAAAATATATATTGTACCCTGAGATGTATATCATAATATTATACCGAGAGATTTGGATAGTGTTACATCCCTAGTGAACACTTTAATGAATCAAAAGTTTAGAATATGTTTTGGTCGACAGTAAACAGTGAAAAAAATGGAAAAAGTGTGGTGTTCTAAAACTTTTGAGCGGTCGTGTTTACTGAGACTGAGACAAACTTGGATGTGTGTCTATCTGCAGGTTAAGCTTCATGATTTCATGGAAACAGAAAAAAACTAAATAAATACTTCAGAACACTCTCCATGAAGATAACATACTGTGGAATATTTTAGCCAAAGGAACAATATTTCCATGGAAACAAGCAGGAGGCCCCATTTTCCAGGCCAAATAAGAGTCAGGTTTTTGGAGATGCAAGGCCCTCCCTGTAAGGACACATGTTTTTCTATATTTTTCAGTGATATCCAGTGTTGTGAAGGTGACTTTTAAAATGTAATCCCCTACAGATTACAGATTACATATCCCAAAATGTAGTTTGTAACGTAATCCATTAAATTAAAGTGAGTAATGTAATCTGAATACTTTGGATTACTTGATTTGCTGTAGAGAAACAAAGACGAGGAAATCTTCATGTAAGATGTTTTGTCTGATAAAAGAAAATAAAAAATCCAGACACCATGATTTAATCCTGTTAAATCCTGGTTTTAGACCTGGTTTGGACCTGGTTAAGACCTGGTTTTAGTCCTGGTTTAGACTTGATTTAGTCCTGGTTTAGTCCTGGTTTGGACCTGGTTTAGTCCTGGTTTTAGTTCTGGTTTAGACCATGTTTAGACCTGGTTTAGTCCTGGTTTAGACCTTGGTTTAGTGGTTTGACCTGGTTTAGACCTGGTTTAGACCTAGTTTAGACCAGGTTTAGACTTGGTTTAGTCCTGGTTTTAGTTCTGGTTTGGACCATGTTTAGACCTGGTTTAGACCTGGTTTAGTGTCCGGCAATGAGTGCAATTACCGGAAAAAAAAGAAAAAGGGGGAATATAGCCCAAAATGTGAAAACAGGAAAATACCTCTGTGTAATCCATTTATTTCAACCAAGTAACTGTAATCTAATTACCACTCACTGAAACAGTAACTGTAACTGAATACAGTTACTCATAATTTGTACTCTGATTACATAACTCTGGTACATGTAATCTGTTACTCCCCAACACTGCTGATAAACACAATGAAAACATGAAAAACAAGCTGTTCTTTTTGGATTACATCTTACAAACTGTAACTTTAAGAAGGTCATCACAATAACCAACGTGCAGAAAAAACACTTTTAAACTAAATGAGTGGCTCTTTGTGTCAGACACAGACAGAGCCTGTGTTGTGCTCCTGCAGCTGATGTCACCTCACGGCTATTTTCCACGTGCTGTGTGTCCCTCCCAGGCTTCCTTACATCACCAGTCCTGTGACAGAGCCAGGTTACACCTCTGCTGCACCGACAGGCCTTCCCCATGAAGCACATAGACTCATATACGCCCATACTGACAGATTACACACATGTAAGTCACAAACCTTCACCACCCAAATCAACAGACGTTATTGGTAAATCACAAAATAAAAATGGATTTGAGCATTATTGAACATAAGTGATCGTGTCTCTGAACAATTAGTATGACTCAAGTTTGAAACACTGAAAAACAATCACTGAAGCAGAAATAAAAGGATCCAGAAGTCAAACCAAAGATGTTTATTTTGTCTTCTTATATACTTGAACTTCTTCGAACTTCTTTTTAAAGACAATGCAGTAAAATAAATTTACCTTGTTGACATGTTTCGGCTGCTCGCTGATCCAGAAGTCGCCTATTTGGACATTAAATGTAGAACATTTCTTTTTCTTTTCAACATTCAACTGAACCAGAAATATTGGAACAAAAAGATTTGAAATGATACAAAACATGTCTTAACATCTGAAGATTTGTAATGAGATAGATGGTTCTGTCTGTGTGTTTGTAGCATGTTTCAGTCAGGAGCAGCATTCTTTCTGTTTCTGTGCTTTGGCTTCATTTTTGTGAGCAAAGAAAATCCCAATTCACACAAATATGTAGTAGTGAAAGTAAGAAATACTGGCCTTACTGAGGTGAGGATATTCTGACGATAAGGTCACAGATCAGAACTGTTTATTGCAAACCTACAAGGCAACCCCTAAAAAAAATCTCTTGCGACTCACCTGAGGGTCTTCGATTGACATATATCTGTCCTGCATTTATTTACTGAAG